ACAGTTGAATTAATACAGCTAAACAACATTGAACTCAGTATAAACCCTTGTAAGATGTAAAATTGAATGAGCTTTTACCCTTTAAAGATCTCCATTTCATTTTAAAATATGCTGTTTCCTACATTTTTAACGCTACTAACAAAAAAAGAAAATGATGAACAAAAACCTGTTGAACAAAAAACTGAATAACCAGAAAGCACAGACTGAGAAAGATAGTAACCCAAAAAATGAAGTACTAGGTTGTAAGAGTTTTCATTTAAACTGGTAGAATTCTAGTTTAACTGAGCTAAAGTTAATTACTAGTGATTATTGGGGGGCATAATGTAAAATTCCAATTAGAGCTAAAACAAAGATAACAGTTTAAATTCTAGTATTATATTTGAATGATTTAAATACTATGATACAAAAGTCGTATACCATGCAGACTTTTTTTTGACTTTATAAAACTCATAAAGAAAACACTGAGCTCTAGAATTTTATCTGAAGGGATGAAAACAGTGAATTTTCACCATTAGGGATTATTAGCTGTCACTCTTCAAGTTATGAAGAAATGAATTTATAAAGATATTTATTTTTAAAGTCTTTACTCAGATCTCTTTTTAACTTTTAAAGATTTATTTTTATTATGTATATGTCTCTGTGTATAAGCACACGTATGCAGGTACTCACAGAGCCAGAAGAATATGTTAAGTCACAGGCAGTTAATGGTCACAGTGAGCTAATGACATGGGTGTTGGGAACCCAACTTAGGTCTCTGCAAGAGCAGCAAGTGCTGTTATCTGTGGAGCCACCTCTCCAGATCCCAGACAAGTTAGTTTTAAGAGGTCATACATTTTTTAAATCTTTTTAAATTTATTTTATTTTTATGTGTATGCGTGTATTGCCTGTATACAGGTAAGTGCACCCGTATCGTGCAATGCCCGCAGAAGACAGAAGAAGCTGTCAGTTTCGGATCCCTTGGAACTGGAGTTACAGACAGTTGTTAGCTGCCATGTGGGTGCTGCAATTTGAACCCGGGTCTTCTGCAAGAACAGCCAGTGTTCTTAACTGCTAAGCCATCTCTCCAGCCCCCCCCCCCACTTATCTTTTTACCCTGATCTCAAATATGTTAAATATATTGCAAAGGTAAAACTAGTATCTACATTAAATATAAATGGTAGTTAGTATCAAGTTATAAAAGAATAGTTTAGGAGCTGCAGAGATGGCTCAGTGGTTAAGAGCACTGGTGGCTCTTACAGAGGACCTGGGTTTGATTCCCAGCACCTACATGGTGGCTAACACCTGTCAGTAACTCCAGTTCCAGGGGATCTGACACCATCTTCTGACCTCCAAGGGCACTGCATGACACAGGTGTACGTATGAACATGCAGGCAATACACTTGTACACATAAAATAAAAATAATAAATAAAAAATTTAAAAAAGAATAGTTTAAAGCTGAGTGTGGGGCATATGCCTTTAATTCTGGTACTCAGAGAACAGAGGCTGGTGGATCTCTGTGAGTTCCTGGCCAGGCTGATCTACACAGTGAATTCCAGATTAATCAGGGTTACATAGTGAGACCATCTCAAGAAAAAAAAAAAAGATTTAAACAATCAGATAAAAATGCATTACTGTATACACTAATAATGGTTAAAAAATATCAGTCAAAATGCCAGAAAACACTTTAGAGAGCCTATACTGTGAACCAAGCTTTATTTTTCATATTGGGCCATTTAATATCTCAAGATAGTTATTATTATCTCCACTTAACAAATGAAGTGGCAGAAGCAAAAAAAGGCTAAGAAATTTACCTAAGGTTGCACAGCTAGAAAGCGGCAGATCTGAGATTTAAACCCATAAAGGTTGAGCATTCGGGAAGCAGAGGCAGGTGGATCACTACGTCTAAAAACCTATACAATGAAGGTTGAATATCCCTAATCTGAAATTTGAAATGCTCCAAAATCTGAACCTTTCTGAGGCCTGGCATTGTACTATTATACCATAAGTGGAAAATTCCACAGCGGCTCTCATATGATGGGTCAGTCAATACATAGGCACACTAAAAATACAAACTGGGCTGGCTCAGAATAAAGGCACATGCTGCCAAATCTGAAGACCTGAGTTTAATCCCAGAATCCACATGGTGGAAGGAGAGAACTGACTCCTGCAAGTTGTCCTCTGACTTACACATGTGCATCATGACAAGCATGCTGCCCTTATAATTAATAAATAAATGTAAAAATAAATAATTATTGTATACATTATCATTTGGCTGTATATATAAGGTATAAATGAAACATAAGTAGATTTCATGCTTACATGCTTACCCTTGGGTCCCATCTCTCAAGGTATCTCACTGTGTACAGGTGAAAACTTTCACATCAAAAAAAGAAAAAAAGAGTCAGGTGTGGTGGCGCACGCCTTTAATCCCAGCACTTGGGAGGCAGAGACAGATGGATCTCAGTGAGTTCAAGGCCAGCCTGGTCTACATAGTGAGTTCCAGGACAGCTGGGTAATAATAATAATAATAATAATAATAATAATAATAATAATAATAAATAATTAAAGAAAAACCCTAGAATCAGAAACATTTCTAGTCCCAAGCACAGATCTTTTTTTGAAGAATTAAGAAAGAAACGCCAGGGCTGGAGATGTGGCTCAGTGGTTAAGAGTACTGGCTACTCTTGCAGAGGACCCAGGTTTGAATCTGAGGACCCAGGTTTGAATCCCAGCACCCACATGGTGGCTAATAACCATCTGTAACTCCAGTTCCAGGGGATCTGACACCTCCTTCTGACCTCTGCAGGCACTGTGCAACATGGGTGCACCTACCTACAGGAAGGCAATATACTCATACACATAAATAATAAAAAAAAGAACAGAAACATCATGGGCTAGAAATGTAGCTTAGTATATGTGAAGCCATAGGAGAGAGAGGGAGAGAGGGAGGGAGGGAGAAAGAGAAGAGGAGGAGGAGGTAGAGGAGGAGGAGGAGGAGGAGGAGGGGGAAGAAAAGTGAAAAGATATCTTTCACCTGATAATCACAAGAAACAAGAAACCCACCACTTCTAAGGATTTCTGGATAACTGGATGTGGATCAACTATAACTATACTTAACAATGTACCAATTTAGAAGTTTTTTAGAGGTGTAAAAAAGTTTTGGATAGATCACCTTTCTTTCTAGGTTAAGTCATCAAAACTGCAGAAAAGTCTACATGATAAATACTGTATGGAGTCTACTCAGATTTTAGCAAAGCCAGGGTTAAACAATGATTTGGAGCTGGGAACATAGCTTAGTTGGCAGTGTTTGCCTAGAATGTACAAAGCTCCAAGTTTGATCTGCAGCACCACAGAAACCAGGTGTAGTGGAACATGCCAGTAATTCTAGCACGTGGGCTCCGTGAGAAAGGGCCATCAGAAGGTTAAAGGCCATCCTATTAACTACATAGCAACTTCATGGCCGGCCAGGGCAGCATGAGACCCTGTCTCGATTTATAAACAATGATAAATTGATTGAAGGCAAAGTCTCACTAAGTAGTCCGGGCTGGCCTGGAACTCAGTCTACAGAGTTAAGGCAGGTCTTGAATTTGAGATGATTCTTTCCTCCTTCTGCCTCTCCAATGCTAGGGTTACAGGTACGCACCATCAATCCCAGCTTAAACAACGATTTATTAATAGTTAAAGAACACTGAGGAAGATTACCAATATATAGATTGATTGCCTCTGTTTCATTTAGTTTAATAAACCTAACAAATATCTGGGGTTACATTTTTACTGAAGAGGTCTGTTTTCGCTTAAACAAAAATCAAAACACAATTACACAAAAGAGAGTGTGTGATTCTCTTTAGAGTGCTACAGGAAATGTAGCCATTCAGAAGAGCAGGTTGTAAGCCAGGTGCCCTGCACCACTGAGTGGCAGCATCATCTACTGCAAGCAAGTAAAGTTCTAAACCAAGTGCCTAGGATTATAGCGAAACTCAAAACCAGAGAAATGAGGCCAAGTCCAGTTCAAGTATTTTTACAACCAGTCTGTTTCTTTATATGATCTAAAACTGGGTTCGATTCTGCCCTGACCCCATAAACACACATGGGAATGGTCTTCAATGTTGTAATTTGTTCTCCTTTCTAATGTCACTGTCAACAGTTTTCCAAAATCTCTTTGCAAGTGTTGGAATTAGGAAGATAAAACAATGTTTTAGTTTTCTTGATTCTATATATATTTAATATTTTTAGTTCTCTTTTTTATCAGAATAGGCATGAAAATGTGAAGTCTAATAATGTTGATAGACTAAAAGTTGTATTCTTTGATCTGTTGATCTGTGGTATTAGTCATTTCAATGAATGAGATTAGATAGGAAGGCAAAAATACTAGGCTGAAGCTCAGTATACCATTCTTATGTTTGGGTTTCATCTGTTGATACACACAGGCTGATAGTTCAATCTGACAACAAGATTCTCTTTTAAGAAATAATAATTTAAATAAGGATGTCCCATATTATGGACAGCTGGCAATGATCTAAAATACAAAACCAACTACTTAAAAAACGTGAACAAGGAAAAACAGATTCTAAATATGGTTTATGCCTTTTGTCTCTTTTTCTTTAGCAACTAAAGATTTTAAATTTTGAGACGGGGTCTCATTATATATAGCTCAGGCTGCTCTGGAACTTGCTGTGTAGCCTAGGATAACCTTGAACTCTCTATCTTTCTGCCTGCCTCCCAACTGCCA